CTAATTAGCATGTACTGGAGATGGAAGCAAAAATGGACCAGCTACGAGCTATGGTGGAGGCTGCTGACAGGGAAAAAGTGGAGCTTCTCAACCAGCTTGAGGAAGAGAAAAGGTAACTGAAAACTGTCTTCATTAGTATAGCTCTGTTAAAAATAAACTCTGCATTAAAAGCAAATGCTGTGATGACTTTGAAATATGAAACATTTTGAATAATGCAGCTATGGATAATTAGTGTATAAAATCATGTTGCAGTTTAGGGTTAATACTAAAAATGAATCTTTTAAATTTGGAGAGGGAAAACCAAAGAAAGTGGACTTTTTTTTTTAGAAACTGTACCTATTGTTTATAGCTGAATTTCATGCAACTCATTCCTTTTATGATTGCTTTCTGTTATAAAGGATTTTATTCCTGCTTCTACAAAATGAACGGATCATGCCTGATCTGCTCGAAACACTCTGTTCCTGCTTCAGAATGAAAATGTTGATAATCTCATTTCCTGACAATGCTAGATAAAGAATTTACCATTTAGTTCTCTTGTGAATAATTTATTGCTACTAGTCGTGTGCTTCTAGGTGTGATCTGTCTCTTACAGGAAAATCATCAAAGCCATCCATTTTAATGCCTTTTCTAATTGCCTTTTGTAACCACTTGAAGAAAGGAACTGAGATTACCAAATAGGTAAAGTGAGTTTAGGAAAGGAAATAATCTGAAAAATAATTGGACAAGGTTAGGTGAGGAAATAATCTGATAGATTATTTTGGTGGATCTAGAATGCTTTTGAAAAGTGAGAATCTATTTAGAATTTAAGTCTGCCCTGTAGGCTTGTGTGCACTCCTGAAATCAGTCAGATGTCAACCTCTCTGAAAGGCCTCCATAAAACTAGAAATCAGAGATGAGAAAATGCACAGCTAAACCCTGGGTAATTCCTTTACAATTTTTATGTTGCCTCTAACTGAATTTTCAAACCAAGCAGTAGGGTTAAGCCTGGAATTATTTGTACGCTTTCTACAAAATAATGCAGTGGGGTTTTAAATTTTAAAAATAAACAAAATAAAATAAAAAAGGCAGCTTTGTAGCACCTCTGGTAGCCTGGCCGTGGACCTACTTTTGCTGAGTGCCAGGTCACTGGGGGGCTGTTTTCCTGCAATCCTCCATGGCCTTGAGCTCACCTTCAGTGTGTTGCTAGGCAGCGTGGCAGCGCTGCTCTGCCCACTGCCCCTTCCCTGCAGCCACATCCTGCAGCCAGGAAAACACTTCACAGCTCTGGCAGTGTGATATTCCTCCTTCCTCCTAACCACTCCAGGCTTATCTACTTTGAAAGTTCTCTGTAATATGTATTCAGGTCAGTCTCAGCAGTGACTTGAAGTCAAATAATCTTTAGTCCTGTGTTTTTCCAAAGCACATTGGTGAGACCCACTTCCAGTAATAAGTTCTTAGTGTCCTTTTATTTTAGAAATCCATCACTTGTAACTTCCTTTGATACAGTGATTTCTACTTCTGTCGGCCAAGCTTCAGGCACCAGCAATGTGTGTAATTCAAAGGAAAGAAGACAGGGTTGTCTCTCCCTCTGAAGTGTTGAAGAGATCAAGGGGAAAAGGAGGAGATCTGGTCCCTTGTTCATTGGGGCATACCAGTCTCAGGGGAGGGATGAAAGCACTTTTTACAGATTTTAAGTCAGATACTAGATTCCCACTTCAGTCTTCTTGTTCTAAGACTCCTATATGGGCAAGGCAAGTCCATGCTCTTGCTTGTGCTCCCATTCTGCATCTTGTGCTTCCTCTTGACTGTTTCTCTGTACTAGAGTTTTGGTGGAGGTTGACCAGTGCACTTCTAGAAGGCCCATGGATATCTTGGATGTGTCCTGACTTTCTGAACAGTAGAATACACAGAATGTGAGATCAGACTGTATATTGAGGTCACCTCTTTTGAGGACATGCAGAAGGAAGGGTGCAAGAATGAGAGAATCGATTATGACTTAAAGGTTTTCTTTTTAACTCATCAGAAAATGCAACAAAAATCTTTCTTTATAGAGCTGCAAGAAGACTGATGCCTTACTTGTCCATGGTTGTGTTTTAAAGGTGGCAACATGCCTTCTCTCTGATGCCTCCTGTGAGAGATTTCTCCTTAATGTTTCTTCCAGTTTGCTGGTATGCCCAAAAGGATGTCGCTGTAGTTCTGATTTCCACTGCAAAGTGAGCTTGAAGGCATTTTCTTTCAAAGTTACCTGAATTTTAATGAATTATCCCCACAGGAAAGTTGAAGACCTTCAGTTCCGTGTGGAGGAAGAATCCATTACCAAAGGAGACCTAGAGGTAAAATATCTCCAGCTTCATAAACAGGATGTATGGTAGGACACAGAAATGGAGTCAGTTCAGGTGAAGTGTGTGTTTCTCTGGAAGAGAAAGGCAGGAATGATTAATAGATGCAATACTGGTCCCAGCATATGTGAAGCACATGGATGTGATTCCCAGTTCTGCAGTCCCTGAGTAAACTAATCATCCTGAAACTACAGGATTGCACCCACGCTTCAGCAAGGGTTGTACTGGGAAATGGCTGTAGTTGGTCAGAATAATTAAATTAATTCATAGAAAACTCTACTTTTTGATACTTTATTTTATATCTTACCAATGTTTCTGAAATTGCTTAAAGGTAACCACCAACAAAAATAAGTTTGAAGTAGTGAAATTGCAAGCCTTTGAAAATTAATACTGAAGACTAGTTCTATTTGTCTCAAATCAATTTTTTGAATAATCCTTGTACTTTCCTTAGGGAAGAAAGGCAAAGAGTGTTTTTTTCCCTGAGAATTGTACACAAAATCTAAACAGCAATTAATGTGTGCAATTTTTATCTTTCTGCTGTTTGTATAACTATAATATTGGGCTAAAACACAGTGTGTTATTTATACTATCATAGTGTAAATGTTATTTACACTGTTACTACAGAGTAGGAAACATCTAGAGAAAGATTACTTTCAGATATTTGAACTCTGCCAATTTTTATCCAGATTTCAAATTAAAAAGAAAGATACGTTGAAATTGTTCTACTCTGTTGTTGTCTAATAAAAAAAATAATATAATTTCTTGCACAGCCTGAAGTACAAACTTAATTAAGTCGTGTTCCTGTGGACCATTAATGGTCAAAGTGCTAGCCTTATGGAAATTACTCATTTCATATAACATTTCTTTTTATTTTAGTCTTCCATTCATTTTAAGATATCTATAGGCTCTTCATAGAATGCTCCTTTTATTGTTTAGTCCATAAAAATTTTAATTTTTAATTTCTTTTTTGTTAACTCAGTCGATAGTCATGGCAAACCATCTTAAAAATTCTGGTTTGTCAAGCTGCATAACTTCAAGGGTTTAAACTGAATTCAAGATAATGAAATGTGTCCTGTTGTTTGTGTTGGAATGATAGTGCAAAGACTGCAGGTGAAATATTTTTGTTTGTTTGTTTGTTTTAATTTTACTGATAGCGAAAGAGGCAGATTTCGGAAGACCCAGAAAATGTAAGAGGGCACTTAAATGTGCAGAGACATCCCATGTTAACAGATTGTGTGCAGAAAATGCTTATACTTATTCACTAACTGCATAATCTGTTATTGAAACATTGACTCTAGTATTTGTGTGCATGTTGCTTTCAGAGCAATTACAACATTTCTGAAAAAGAATGTGTGTAATGACTAAACGTTGTAATCCCCATTAACTGAAGAGAGGCCAAATGTGTCATTAGAATTCTTGAGGGTCAAAAACATTGCAACTTATTGAAGAGTGTGGGAGCTTGTAGAAAATGACTGTCCAGGATCTTGCAACGTCTTTGATTTAAATGTAGGCTTTTAGCTGCTTTCTCCACAAAATTCTGCATGTTTTCTTATGAGCTCCTACTGCTGTTCAATAGATGCAGTGTGCAATTAGCAGATTCATTTTTCTGAGGAAAAATGTTATGTTCCCCACCTCCCCTTATTTGTTTTGGGTTTTTTGGCATTAAATTCTAAGGTGAGAGATGATTAAAAATACCTGAAGAATTAGTGTGCAAAGCCATCTGTTTCTACTGTATCTTCATGTAGCTTCTCTTTGACTGATGTAGGAAAAATATATGCTACTGGATAACAGAAATTGCCTTGCAAGATATTTAAGCAGCCATTTTGCTTCCATAGCTCAGGATAGTGGAATTGAAAAGCCCTCTCTTTGATTGGACTCAGGGAAGTTTATCCCAGGCTGCCTCCTCTGCTGCATCCCCAGCTGAGATAGGAAGGTCTCAAGACTAAAACTGGTTTCCTGCTGTGCATTCTTAGGTGTTCCTTTTGCGAAGCTACTTCAGCGATCCGGGTCTCCTCTATTCTTCCAATCAGGCTCACGGTGTGTTAGAAGTAAATCTGCATGTGCCCTTCCTCTCTCTTGTTTTGTGCACTCCTTGTTTAATCCTATCTTTACTCCTGATTTCCCTGTTCTAATTTTTCCATTAAAAATCGACATCTTCACTCTCTAGAGGAGAGAAGTGGGTGATCACTTAGTTTCTAGGATAATGCTTCATAATCTCAGTTGTGTTCTGTGATTGTCGTCCCAGCACGAAGGGACTGAAGGTCCTCTTGCCCCTACCCTAGAACTGATTATCAGCATTTATGGCTTCAGCACAATTTCACAGCTTGACCTGTAGATGCAGAAGTTAACAGCAGGGTTTATTATGAAGTGAAGGAGTAGCTCGAATGCACAGGTGCTGACTATAGCTTATGACTGGTCTCTGAAGTTCAAGTTCAACTCTTTAAGGTTCAAGGCAGAGTAAGGCTCATTCTATTTCCCTGTTGCTCTTAATCTAACTGTGGAGCTTTGGAGAAGGTGAGATTTCTTCCTTTGTTGTTGATTTGTTGGGTTTTTTTTCTTTCCTGCTTTTCTTTTTCATCTAAATTAAGGTTTACAATCAAATTCTTTTCTTCTTTTTGTAGTACTCCTCTCTTCTCAAGTTTAATGTGCTCTGAGTTTCCTCAAAGAGAGTCATAAATCATTTACAGATCTTTTTCTAGATGATCAGGAGAGATTTGAGTGATTCAAAATTTTGTGGTGATTTTTACCTTTGGGAGACTGGAGACTGTCCCTTGGAAATCAGGATAAACAGTCAGGCCCTATATGAGGAATAAGGTGTCCAGCAAAGATCTCTGGAGTGGGTGTTTTTTTATCTTTATTGCCATTTTGGTAGGATTTAAACTTATTTCCTTTAGTAATATACAAAAGATGGGATTAAAAAAAAAAAGTAATCAGTGATGGTCTATCTGACCTTTGCAGTAGTAAAGCAAGGTCTATAAAATTAATGATCAAAGTGTTTGGGGTTTTATGTAGCATAAAAAAGCCTTAAGATAGCGTTTTGTGGTTGTGCAGGGAAAATTCTGCAACTATCAGGTTTGGGAGTTCTTGGGTTGTAGTAGATCTTGGTGAATTGGAGCAAGGAAGGTGAGAACATTCAATTTTTAAAAATAGATTATCTCTCAAGACTTACTGTTTCTCTGTGCATCACAACTAACACTAACATGTCTCAGAGAGGGAACTAATCAAATATTATTTCCCTTTGAATACTTGGTTCCATTTTCAAAGGCTGTGGGAGGTAAACCAGTAATCTGTGTTCTCATGGGGTTTGTTCCCCCATATACACCGAAGATCTTCCACTGGTAGGGAAAAAAATCTACTACGTACTTGGTTCCATTTTCAAAGGCTGTGGTAGGTAAACCAGTAATCTGTGTTCTCCTGGGGTTTGTTCTCCCATATACACCGAAGATCTTCCACTGATAGGGAAACAAATCTACTACAGAGTTTCAAAAAAATAGACACATTTAAGAAGCAACTTTTAGTGTTTGTGGCTTTTTGTAATTCTATAGTAAACCAGCCAGCTGTTTTTTTGGAAAACTGTTTAACAAATTAACCCATCAGATGTCTGCATTTTGGGAAAGAAGATAATGATGCTGTCAGAAGAAATACTGTGTTTGGAGAGGAACAGGCCTGAAGCAAGACAAGAGGCTCATCCCCATCCCACTTGCTCTGAAGAGACCACATAAGATCTTTAACTGCTGCGGCTGGTTTGGAGGCAGTACTAATCAGCTTGTCACTCTATAAATAACACCCTTCTGCTGGGATCTTTCAATATCATGTTACAAAGATCAGAGAAGCAGCAGGGTCCTGCCAGCTGTGCACACGCTGCTGCCCTGTGGCTTTGGCAGCAGCATGGCTTTGGAATGATCCACGTGTCTTCCTGCCTTCTCAGAGTCTCTCAATCCAGTGTTCAGTGAGGAGCTGGTCAGGCTGCAGGACTCTCTGTTAATAGGAGTTTCTAGGGCTTAGGGGATACTGTGGTACTTTGTTCCACAGTAAATTAAGTGAGGCAGTTGAGCTGTGTGGACAACTTCCATCAAGGCTGTTGGTGCAACTTCTTTGGTTAATAAACACACCTTCAAGTATCCAGTCTTCTTCTGGACATCCACCTTACTCTGGATGCAAGCCAGCCCTGAAAAGCTGCTCTTTTTGGAAAAGACATTGTGAAACAACAATAGACTTTCATAATCCTTTTAATTTGAATTGTTTTGTAAATTTAAACTTAACAATGACCTGTCAAGATTGACACAACAGAGGAATCTCCTCACCTCAGAAATAAGCATGGCACCTGTTTCTTACCTCTTTACATTCCTTTTTTCTTTTTGACACCCCATTTTTTCCCACTTCAGAGGTGCAGGTCAGATTTGAAGTAGCTGCAAGACTTTACCTGCATTTCTCAAACTTCAAGCTCTCTTGCAGGCTTCTGGCAGTAACTGGGCATCAAGCCAGAGTATCCAATACTCTGTGTTCTTGCTAAAAATTCTACCTCTTTGTAAGCAAAGGCAGGAGGTACCTGCTCACTTAGTTTCATCTGCTTCCTGCTTCACTTTAAGAACCTGTTAGAACTATAGTGTTCTTACTTTTTTTTTTCCCCTTACTTCCACATCTTGTTCAGTGTATTCAGACTTCAGTAACTACAGAGCAATCAGACTGATTCACTTTTTTACCTTGTTTTGGAGAATCTTACTTGTTTCCTGATTCCTTCCTGAAAGAAGAGGAGGGGGAAAACTAGGGGGTTCTGCAGTTATAGATAAGCATTCCCTTTCTATTTCTACTCAAGTAATTCACACCATAGTGACAAATTAACCTTAATGTTCCCAAGTCTTGGCCAAAAGAATTTTTATGGCTAAGACCTGAGATTCAGCTATTCAAAAAAAAATAATTTAAAAGTTTTGATTTGTCACATGAGCTTCAGTGGTGAATTTTTGCCTCCCGGTTATTAATAATTTATAAAATAAGCCAAATATTAAAGAAAAAAGTTAGGGGGATGACAAGCAAGGGGACTTTTCATCCTGTTAGAACAGGTGTAGGTATATGTACACATATTTTTTACATAGCTACTCTAATTTGTGCTGAAAACTTCATGTACTGATAAATAACTTCTACTTGGCTGCATGAAACTTTTTCGTTCGTATTTCTTCGTTTGTGATTTATTTAATTTTTTTTCTACATTTTTAAGTTTTTTCACACGTCAGTCCCATTTACACTTTCAGTCCATCTTTCTCATCCATAGCATTTCCCCTGTCCATTTTACCCACTGCATCTTCTCTGCTCATCATTGGTAGAAGATTCTGGCAGCACGGCCTGCATGTGGCTCCCTCCTCTTGTGCTGGCATGTGATGGTGGCACCGTTGTGTTCTCTTCCTTTCCCTTTTTACTAACAGACGCAGACCAAACTGGAGCATGCCCGCATTAAGGAGCTTGAACAGAGCCTGCTCTTTGAAAAGACCAAAGCTGACAAACTCCAGAGGGAGTTAGAAGACACTAGGGTAATGGTTTTCACTATTTAAATAACAAGACTGGTTTGTGTTGTGGAAGATTTCTGATGACACAGTCTGCTGGGTGTAACACGTGCTGAAACAGATCCTTGCTCCTGCCATGAGCAGTACCTGCTATAGATAGAGCTGGAATGCTTCAAAAATTAACATTCCTTTTGAGCTTCAGTGTTTTGCTTGTGTGTGCCTGTACATGTGTACTCATTTCTTCAGAAGAATTCAGGTAAGACATCTTAAAGCTGCAAAATTAATACTTTAATCCAAGTCAAAAGCAGCAGATGGGACTGTGAATTGACATAAAGGAATGTTCAGTGGTTCATGTTTAGAAGTAGCCAAGTCCGTTAAATCCAAAAAAGTAAGGTAGACTCTGCCAATGCTTTTGCCACAAGCTTAGGATTTTGGGCTTTATTTCTGAGGTCTTAAATCGTTGTCCTACTACTTGCCTTCCTAAATCATGGTTTGCAGTGGCTTTTTAGTTCTTTTTATTCCACCTGTGACTTAACCTTTCCATGGATATCCCAGTAGCACTAGTAATACTGTAGCCTGTCAAAATATTACTGGAAATATGTGTCCCAAGTCAGAATTTCAGCAGATGGCAGAAGGAGATACATATATATTTATGCTCACACATGTGGCTTTTCTTGACATTGAGGTAAAGATAAATATTATAAACCCAAGAATGTACTCCATTATAAGTACTTCTAAAAAGCAATTCCAGGTAAGTAATATCTTTTCCAGGGTGTTGGTATAATAAGGAGTTTGAATCAGTAGCTTCCTAGTTAGAAATATTTAGAGTAGCTTCACTTGCTTCTCCATACCACAGGCTGCTTCAACAGCTGGTGAAAAGGTCAGATAATGTGAGGACACTTTTTCAGAGAGGACAATGGAGTGGGTATAGAAGTAGTTTCAAAGGATTAGTAGGCTAAAAATGTGTTTGTATTTTTCTCTGACAGTCTCATAGCTGACATGAGATGAATTTGGAAGCAATTATTTCAACAAAGAAAGACCTCAGGCTTCTCCTTTCTTTTTCAGGCTGCTTTAAAAGGGTTCTGAGAAATGTTTTGTTAAACATTGATAGTATGTGTGAGCATTGCTTGTAAGTTGTTCAGCAAGTCATTATTTCTAGATAACTTCAGAGAAATGAATTTAAACTCCACCTTTAGAAACAATATAATATGCATGTGATACAAAAGCATGGACATTTTCCTTTTTTTAAAGCAATAATTTATACATAAATGAAACAACAGTCGGTCTTGTTTCACAGCCTTCTGTGCAAAGGCAGCAGTTGCCTTTGCTCTGAAGTTTCTTTAGAATTTCCATAGAAATAGGAGCTGACAATGAAACTCAAAGGTATTCTAATCCAAAATGCTAGTGGGAATACACTAATCGTGTTAGCTTGCAACACTCAGTGGTTTCTTTTCAGTGAGGCCTCAGTGTCTTTGTATTAACATATCTTTTCCAATTCTTTCTTTTCTTAAAACACTGTTAATCCTAGGTGGCCACAGTATCAGAGAAATCTCGCATCATGGAGCTAGAAAGAGACCTGGCACTGCGGGTGAAGGAAGTGGCTGAGCTCCGGGGCAGATTACAGTCCAGTAAACACATTGATGATGTGGACACTTCTCTCTCATTGTTGCAAGAGATAAGTTCTTTGCAGGAAAGAATGGCAACGGTTAGCAAAGAACATCAGAATGAGATGAATTCACTGAAAGAGAAGTTTGGAATTAGTGAAGAAGCATTGCAGAAAGAGATCAAATCGCTTTCTGCTTCCAATGAGAGAATGGCAAAAGAAAATGAATCCTTGAAAACTAAGCTGGATCATGCCAACAAGGAGAATTCTGATGTGATAGAGCTGTGGAAGTCAAAGCTGGAATCTGCCATTGCCTCCCATCAGCAAGCAATGGAAGAACTGAAAGTTTCTTTCAGCAAAGGCGTAGGGGCTGAGACAGCAGAATTTGCAGAGCTAAAGACTCAGATGGAGAAGATTAAATTAGACTATGAAAAGGAAATGTCACATTTAAAACTGAAGCAGGAAAATGAAAAATCTCATCATATAAAAGAGATTGAGTCACTGAAAGCAAAACTGTTGGCAGTCACGGAGGAGAAAGATCAGAACCTGGAAAGCCTGAAGACCAAACTGGAAAGTGTGGAAGATCAGCATCTAGTAGAAATGGAAGACACTTTAAACAAATTACAGGAAGCTGAAATAAAGGTAAAGGAGCTAGAGGTACTGCAAGCCAAGTACAATGAACAAACCAAAGTTATTGATAGTCTTACACCACAGATCAAAGCTGCTGAAGAAAAGCTTTTGGACCTTGCTGCACTTCAGAAAGCCAATTCTGAAGGTAAATTGGAAATCCAGAAACTTAGCGAGCAGCTTGAGGCAGCTGAGAAACAAATTCAGAATTTAGAGGCTGAAAAGGTTGATGGAAGTAGCAAGGTTTGTATCAACATCCATTCTTTTATTTTTCTTTTACTTTTATTTTACATCTGTACTGTTCTAATCTGCTACAGCAAATACATCACAGAAGAAATATTTTTATTTAGTGCTTGGTACTGTCTGAGGAGGCTCAGTGAAAATGTTAACTGGGTCATGTCTCTAAACAGGTTTCTAGTCTGCAACACTAAGCAAAAGAGATAAATTCCTTATGCAAGCTTTGACATGCCTCTGCTGAATGCTTCATGTCACAGAAAAGTTAGTTTGGCTTATCTGAGAGAAGAATCCACCTATCTTAGTATACCAGTTTTTAACCTTTGGTGTGAGAGGTGTTCAGATAAAAAGTGCCTTGGGGCTCAGTGGGGAAGTGTTTTTCTGTACTTTCACTACCTTGCCTCTCATCAAACAAGATGATGGAAGAGGCTATTAAAAATAAAGGAAAGCAAAAAAAGGTCCTGGTGGAACTTTTCTTTAAGACAAAGCTGTGCAGTGATGTTGTTAGACACTGTTTCACAGCATTTCTGAAGCACAGATTGCCGTGAGCTACATCTTGCCAAGATTTTTCTTGGTTATGGATGAAATGTCTCTTTGAAGTTTATAGTGTGGCCTTCAGTGCTTGAAAGTTGTTCCACCACTGCAGATAGGAATCAAAGTGCCAATGCATCTTTTCATCTCAAGGGTTCCCTCAGATCCCCAGCCTATGCATGACCTGGCAAGGTGGAGCTCTAATTGTGAAAGTAGTGAGAAATAACTGGAACTATCTTTCCTAAACCCTTCTCAGATGTTTCCAAGATGCCAGGGTTCTGTGGACCTTTGACTTTATTTTTGAGGTCACACTGAGTTTCTGAACCCCCCAGGGGGGTGTGGTACAGAGCCTTCTGAGAAATCACATCCCTGTACATGTGTTGGTCTGAATAGCCAGATGAAGCATAAATGCTAAATTCATCAGTTAAAAAAATAAAACCCATAAGGAACCAAAACTAATTAAACTAATGCTGGAACTTTATTTTGAAATTTTGAATGAAAAATGTCTGCTGTTAAATAATGTTTTCATCATTAATTCCAATAGCACTAAGTTTTAATGATTTCAAGATGCAATTTGTACTGTGATGTATGTAGTCATCAGTGGAAATCACCTTCATGCAGTTAACATCACATTTTTTTTTGTTCAGTCTTTCTTTTATTTTTCATCTTGCAGTGTTTTTGATAGTTATTTCTTCCAGATTCAACTTTTAATTTTCCTGCTTTTCCATCCATGTTTGTAATTTTATTTTACTCCATTTCATCATCTTTGTTAGGCTAGTAATCTGGCCAAAGAACTGCAGGGCAAAGAGCAAAAGCTTCTTGACCTTGAGAAAAACTTGAGTGCAGTAAATCAAGTTAAAGATTCTTTGGAAAAGGAACTTCAAGTTTTGGTGAGTAATACCCAAAAATTTTGACTTTATCCTTTGGATTTTGGTTTTCATGGTGAGAATGTAATTGAAATCTGTGGATCTGAGCAAAGTCTTTCAAAGCTGTTTTACTCATGAAAAAGAGTTAAGAGTTCATGACTAATAGGACCTGTCTTGGAATGAAAAGAGCAATTCACCTGAGTTCTGTGTTATCAGGTGTTTTGTCTAAATAGAACTCATCTGTTTATGGATTTCAGATAAAATATTAAACTAAATCAAAAGCAGCATGTAGTTTAAATTTAGACTACTTATTAAGGAACACATGGCCCTTTATTATAACTGTTGAAACAAATTCATGCTTCATATACAGGTCTTAAAATGGGGTTTGAAGACCTTTTTCATCTGATTTCTTATGTTGCAAATTCAATGAAATTTGCAAGTATTTTGTGGTTGGGTGGGATTTTTCCTGAGAAACTACACTGGAGTTAGTAACAAAAAGACATACTTTTAAAAGGTCCTGCTGTCCCTGTCATAAAATCTTTCCAAGGCCACAGTATGGATTTGAAGTTAGTGGAAGAGTCTTGCTTCTCATCTTCCTCAATATCCTCCCTTTTCTTCACAGTCCAGCATCTCTTCCTGCTGGTAAAGCTGGAAAACACTGGTATGAGGTTGATGACAGGGTTGCAGATGTCCAGTGTGCAGCCTCTGAGCAGCATGGGTAGCTTCTTGTGTGGACCCAGAAATGGCATCTCCTATGCTGGACACTATGGCTGCAGCTCTGTTGCTGTGCTAGCTGATGGAGAAGTTATTTTGGATGTCTAGGGACTTGCTTGCAACCAAGGCAAAGGAAAATCTTGCTTTATGTTGCTGAACATATCTATGTTAAACTCATTCCAAGAGTTCAGATACATTTACAGTGAAGACTTCTAGTTTGTGCTTGAAAAATACTTAGAATAAATTCAGTGATTAAATTATACTCATTCCAAGAGTTCAGATACATTTACAGTGAAGACTTCTAGTTTGTGCTTGAAAAATACTTAGTATAAATTCAGTGATTAAATTATACTGCTATTACCAAACCTTACCTTAAGTTTTTACCCATTTTTCAGAAAGAAAAGTTTACTAGTGCAGCTGATGAAGCAGAAAATGTTCGACAAACTATGCAAGGTATGTCTGCTGTTAAACTGAACAGAACTGAAAAGCTGCAGAAAAGAAATGCTGCAAAATAAAGGGTTTTTTTGTGTGTCTGCTTTCAAATTTACACTTGGTGGTGTAGCAGCTTCAGGCAGCTATGGGAAGGACAGGCTGACTTGCAGCCTCTCTTCTTAAGAGTAATAATATACCTTGCAGGTAGATGGAATTGTCTTGCATCTAGGTAGTTACTAACTTTGTTTTCAAAATTTTACTTGACTAGAAACAATAAAAAACCTAAACCAAAAAGAAGAGCAGTTTGCACTCATGTCCTCAGAACTGGAACAGCTGAAGTCTAGTTTGACTGGTAAGGAAGTAATAAAATGGAATATTTTCAAAATACATCAGCTTCCTGCTTTTCTAATGCCTCCTGCTCAGCTCGCCTCGTCCTAGGACATAATGCTCTCCCAGATGCATGTGCCCTCAGCAGAAAGCCTTTTCTCTAGGCAAAGAACAGCTCTTGTGGCACTGTGGCACCCAGCAAGGTGACCATGGTGTTCAGGAAATAGTGCAGTGAGGCAGAAGATTTCCTGGCTGAGGGTATTCCAAATCAATAGTTAAATTCTTGTTTGTCATTGCAACAAACTCATGCTGTGGTGATGGTCAGATACCAGACAAAGGCTGTATTCACTTCTGTACTCACAGAAGCCTTCTCTGTAAGTGGTGTTTTCTTTTTAAGGACATCAAAAAGACTGTACATTGGTTGTCTGCTTCTTCCTGTCTCATAGGAGGCAGTCTTGCTGTATCTTTCTAGTTGTACATCTCAGTTTAAAACCCATGTAGAAAGAAGTTAAGAATGATTACATCCCCTGTAAACAAGCCTTCCAAGGTGTTGTTTGGACTGGAGAAGTCATCCCAAGGGCTGCCCTTGCCCTAGGTGGCAGTGCCTGCCCTGACTGAGTCAGTTGTTCACTGTAGCTTCATGTTGCTTGCCTTGTTTTTCTTCTGCTGCTCTACTAATAGCTGGTGAGTTATCTCACGTGTAAGATGTACCTACCTCTTTTATTATATTGCTTCATTACACTGTGATTTAGGTAGAGCTTGTCTTGGCTTCTAGTGCCCTGGAGTTAAGTGAATAGTTTCTAAAAGAAAGATTTCTTGACTAGTGCTATTTTACTATCTCTGAAAAGTTCTGAACCTTCTGTTACAGTGAACAGTTGAAATGACAAACAATTGTAACGTTTAAAGGGGTAATTTGCAAGCTCTGTAGCATCAGTGTTGCTCTGCTTATAATTCTTTAGTATCCTAGTTCATCTGTGTCAACCCATTCTCTTAAATTTACTAGACTGCTAATCTTTATCTTGCTCAGGGATGGAGAAGAAATTGAAGGAGCGAGAAGAGAGAGAACAGCAGCTGACTGAAGCTAAAGCCAAACTTGAAAATGATATTGCAGAGATCATGAAGTCTTCAGGAGACAGCTCTGCCCAGCTAACGAAAATGAATGATGAGCTGCGGCTAAAAGAGAGGTATTCCCTCACTGTCAGAACATTTTCATATTAATGCTTTGCTCCTGCACTCACAGCTTCTCATTTCATCTTTTTGTAAAGATCTGAACAAGATGCTCCTGAGTGTCACATTGATATGACAAGTGAACTTATTCTATCAAACTAAATTAATCAAAACAGTCTCCTTAGAGTGATTTGAAGAGCATCTAACATTTATAATTCTAAAATTCTTGTGTAATGTGCTTCTCATTGCCCAGAGTAAATGACCTTTTTAATAATCTAGACTGCCTTGTGATTGTGCTTCATAATTACCTGATGACCTGATAAGCCTGGTTTGTTCAGATACATGCAAGACTTGGGTCACATTTTTGTCCAGCAAGAGAAAATGTGTTTTTGTTTCAAATAAAAATTGTATGTAGACTAGTTGTTCTTTACCTTTACAAAACCCTGGACTGGAGTCAAAGTAACTGGCAGCTGTGTTGCTCTGAACATGAGCAAGTGCTCAGTCTCACTTCTGTATATTTAATTTAGCAGAACATTCTCTATATATTAAATAATTAAATCTCGTTCTAAATGCTTGGACAGAATATAGAACTTCAGCATAATTCAGAGTCTTTCATTTTGGTGCTTGTTGTGCTGTCAGCAAAAAGTAATGTTCTTTTATTTGGTCTTCCTAGGCAGTTGGAGCAAATACAACTTGAGCTTACAAAAGCAAATGAAAAGGCTGTTCAGCTTCAGAAAAACGTGGAGCAGACAACACAGAAAGCTGAGCAGAGTCAGCAAGAAACTCTCAAGATTCATCAAGCAGAACTAAAAAATATGCAGGATGAACTAATGGACATGGTAAGAAGAACTTTAAAAAGCACAAGGTAACTGTGTGCAGAATATTGTACCTTCTTTAACTGTGTTCCATTTGTTTTATCTTCTATCAGAAAAAGCAAATCGAGGCTAGCCAAAATCAGTATAAGGATCTTCAGGCAAAGTATGAAAAAGAAACTTCTGAGATGATCACTAAACATGATGCAGATATCAAAGGGTTTAAGCAGAACTTGCTGGATGCAGAAGAGGCACTGAAAACTGCACAAAAGAAAAACGAGGAGTTAGAAACACAGGCTGAGGAGCTGAAAAAGCAAGCAGAGGAGGCCAGAGTATGTATCCTTCGTTACTCTGCGAGTCATTTGAAGTTCAAATCTTTCTGTTTCAGTGAGTCACTGGTTTTTGCCTGGCTTCACCATTGCATAGTAAGATTTTTTTGCAGTGTTTCTTTTCTGAACTTTTCCAGGGTAGATTAACGTTGGTTAGGAAAGAGAAGTATACACAATTAACTGGTTGTCTTCTCTGGATTACACAAGAAGCCATGAAATTCTGTTCTTTGATGTTAATGTTTTATGTTCATAGGTACCTGGCTCAGCACAGTCAGAGCCAAATGTTAGTCTCTGTTTAAGTGCATGAATTTTACAGTATGTTGTGAACCATTTCATTTGAGTGTTACACACATAAAATTTTGTTCTGTAGTATGATCCCATATTCTGTGCAGCTGTTTAGTATGTGGCTGGATTTTAGTGTTTTGTTGGGGTTTTTTCCCCATCCTGTTTCTTTGACATTATTGCTTGCTTTCATCCCTCCTTAGTTATTTGCTACAATCTTTGTTTTATGCTTTAGCAAAATATTTAGTGTATAAATTGGCACACAAGTTAACTTTAAACACACCACTGAAGTTGTCTTTTGAATTAACTGAGTTATGACAGTATATTTTGGAGAATATATGTGGAGAATTATCCACAGAAGGTAAATTTGAGAATTGGAAGTGAGTATCTAAAATACCTCCCTGCATTTTAAGTCACTTAGATTCTCATGAAATCATTCTGTGGCTCTTTTTTCTGACTAATTTACACTCAGTAAATTTGTTCAGAGTAGTTTTAAAAACAAGATGAAAATTTGTACAGAGGAACCTTCAAACCATGATTATTGTACTGTAATTATTTAACCACTGAAAAGTTTTCTTGAGGCTGGTGTTTTGTAATGAAATATCAGGTGTGGCTGTCAGCACTAGAGTTTGCACAGGGACTGTGTGTCGGTGTATACACTTTTTTAAAACTTAAACTACAGTAGCTCTATTTGCCCTTAAATCACATTTCTCATTTGTCTGCTTGACTTCATTTTTGTTTTTCCTTTTCCCTGACTTTATTTCTTTAGTCCTTAAGCTCTGTGTTAGCATCAGCCAGAAAAGAAATTGAACTAATGTCAGACAAGATGAGGGGTTTGATATCAGAAAAAGAGACTTTGGCACAGGAGGAGAATACTTTAAAATTAGAGAGAGGTTCCTTGTTATCAAAACTTCTAGAATTGGAATCAAAGATTTCATTAATGCAACAAGAGCGAGAAGAACTTCAGACAATAAATGAAGAACTTAATTTGGAAAATAAAAGAATCCTAAAGCAGAAGGAAGAAGCTGAGGCCAAAAGCCAGCAGGAAAGCACTGAAAAAGTAGCACTAATTTCTGAGAAAAGCAAATTACTGTCTGAAATGGAGGCAGCACAGGCAGACTTTCTGAAGGTAACTCAAGAAAATGACGTTCTCCGCTCTTCAGAGTCAGCCTTGCTCCAACAGCTGAAAGAACTTCAAGCTGACAAAGATGCCATGGATGTGGTATGTCAGAAACGTATCAAGGAATGGGAAGAACTGGAGAACTACCAGAAGAAACTTTTGGAAGAGAAAGATGCACTTATTAAAGATAAAGTTGATGTTATTCAGAAGCTGGAAAATTCTTCTGCAGCCCTGACCAGAGAAGTGTCAGCTCTGACTGCAGAGAGGGATTCAGCCCTAAGTAAACACTCAGATCTTGAAAATACACATACAGCCTTAAAAAAAGAAATGAGTGGTCTGTTGCAGACAAGTCAGAGTCTGCAGTCCGAGAAGGAGATGCTCCTTATAAGCATGGGGGAGCTGCGTGTGAGCTTGGACAACACGGTTAGCGAAAACCAAGCATTAAAAGTGAGAATGGAAGGGATGGAAACAGAGCTCGAGGCTGAACAGAAGGAACTGAAGAAGGCAATGAAAGACAATATGGAGCTGAAGGATTCCCTTGCTAGTCTGTCTCATCATCTTGAGGAAATTAGAGCCTCAAGAGACAGATCCAATTCCGAATGTATTCAGTTACTTCAAGAGAAAGAGGCGCTTTCTTCATCAGAACGAAGGCTTTTGGCTGAAAGGGAGGAACTTTTAAATGAAAATAAGGCAATTACTGAAAAGCTTGCTAAAGCCACAGCAGATGCTGTACTTGCTGAGAGAGTCTTTACTGAGAAAATAAACGAACTAAACTTAGAAAAGGAATCTGTTTTTCATAGATCATTGCAATTTGAAAAGCACAATGAAGCTCTTCTCCAAGAGAAGAAGGAATTGGAGAACAAATACTTGGAGCTTCTTGATGAAAACAAGTTATCTGCAAATACAATTTCTGATATGAAAAGAGAACATGAACTGGACATCTCAGCCAAAAGAGCTCTGGCCCAAGAGAATACCATGCTGCAAGATTCCATTGAATCCCTTAAGGAAGAACTAAGTAAGAAGACACTAGAAAATCAAGACCTAATAGCCTGTAAACGTGACCTTTCAGATCTTCTGAAAGAGGCCCAGGATGCCAAAAGAACATTAGAAAATGAACTGGCTGCTGCATCTCATGCCGAGCAGGTCCTGTCATCTTCACTGAAGACCTGTTCTTCTGATAGGGAAATGCTGACCAGAGAGAAGACTGAATTGCAAGATAAGTGTCAGAAATTAAATGAAGAGGTCGCGGTTATGAAAGAAAAGTTAACCACAGAAAAGGAAGCTAGACAACTGGACAAGGAATCATTTTTCTTGGAACGTATGGAACTTCAAAGCAGCATCACCTCCTTAGAGAAGGAGGTTGAAGAGCTGAGAGAGAAAAATAAAGAATTCCTGACTGAGAAAGAACTTTTAATTCAAGAGAAAGAGAAATCTGAAAATAAACTGGTGGAAACAATAAAAGAAAAAGAATCCCTCTGTGCAGAGACAGAGCAGCTGCTCTCCAGTATGGAACGACTGAAGAGTGACTTTGCTTCCTTGTCTAAATCAAAAGCAGAGCTCCAGGACTTGCACAGATGTGTCTGTGACAAGCTAGAGGTGATGGAGAAGGAGAGAATAAAGTTACTTCAGGAAAATGACAGCCTGCTTGCTGAACAGAAGAGTCTGGTCATCATTAAGGAAGAAACACTAAAAGAGAAGGAGAAATTCTCCAAGGGTTATTATAAACTGCACGAGGAAATAGCACTTTTAGAACAAACTAATAGTGACCTCTCAGGCAAATTGCTGGTCTCTCAGGGCAAAAGTCAGATGCTGCAGGAGGAGATGAACAATCTGGCTTTGAAACTAAAAGAAATTGAGACTCTCCAGGCCCAAACGGTAGCGCAGAAAATTGAGGTATTGAAACACATAGTTAAACCATCAAGTATGGTTATACTAACACTGAGCACTAACCCATGGTTTCCTCTCTGCACTTCATTGCACAATCAGCACTTCATCTTGGTATAAACTGGCTGGAATTATGGGCTCTCTCCATACATCACTACAGTTTGGTTTTTTTTCAAGTTGTAACTGTGAGTCTGGAAGACTTTTGTTTGGGTTTTTTTAAATTCTAAATTTCAAAGCCTATGTTGTCGCTGAATGTTGCAAAAAAAAACCAACGTAAACTGTGAATAAAAGGAAGTTTTGTTTCCTGAATCCGGTAGGAGAAATTGAGCAGCTCCTTCTGTTTAAGTACTCTACAGCTTAAAAGCAAGAGTAGGAATAGATAAGGTTTTAGAGAGATCTTCATGCAATTTTATGTTGAATTACAATAAACTACAAATTTGAATTACTCAAAAAAATACAAACCAATGTACTTTTCCTGTAAATATAGTCAGATAAAAAACAATGTAAGAGAACCATTTAAATTTGTGCTGAAGGACTTTCAGTCTGTTAAAGACAATTCTGGTGTTCTTTTTATTCACAGAAGTGTTTTGTATTCACCACCAACAAATTCTGTGAAGTATTTTGAATTTCAGTTTGTGTGGCTTGAAGCCTGTAAAATTGCTTTGAATACAAATTGGAATCAGGATATCCTACAGGAATGTATTGTGCCTACCTGGGTATTTTAATATTCTTCTGAAGTATTTCCTATTATGAGGGTATAATGAACGACACAGAAATAATGTGATAATTGGCTTTATCTCCTATTTAATTTTTAATTCTTTTTTCAAACTTTTAAACAGCCTTTTAGAATTCTACTTTTCCTGAAAAAAGGAGTCTGTTGGCAGTGAATATCTATTGAACTACTACTGTCTAAAGTGGTTAGAAGTTTAAGAGCAATCACAGCAGTGGCAATTAGAAATTCAGGAATTAAAAAAGGAAATGGGCTTCCTCAGTGGTGGCTCAAGCATGGGCTTATGATCTATTTCTGCATGGAGTTGAATCTTCTCATGCCCATTTATTCTTATACTTTATGCAGCTTCAAAATCAAATAAATTCCCAGTTGAAGCCCTTATTTAATTGGAAAGCAGCTGTCAAACTGTGGAGCTGTGCATAAAGTACTGTGGTTCATATTATGCATTCAGGAGGTCCCTTTGGTAATGCTTTATTTTTTTTCCCCCACTCCCCTTTATTTATAGGCTGCCAAAATGGCAGAAGATGTTCTCCAGGCTGTGGAGAGGGTGACCAAAGAGAAGGATGCCATACACAAAGAAAAGATTGAAACTTTGGCCTCTTTGGAGAACTCTAGACAGACAAACGAGAAGCTACAGAATGAAGTAATCACATTTAAATGCTTTTATGTGAAAAATTTTGCCTGGTTTGTAAGGAACAGCTATTGAATTACAGAGAATTAGATGAGGCAGGAGTGGATTCTGTCATTTTCCCACCACAATACTCAGTCTTGGCTGCCTTGTAAAAACTTTGAGTGCATATTGATGGAAAATCAGCTGTATAACCTATATTTTTTTATATTTTGCATGTGGCTTCAAATACCTTTAGAGCATATAAGATTGTGGCCCTTAAATCTTGGTGCAGCAACCAAAAAAAAAAAATCTTGTGTAATAGGAGTCCTGCAGTTTTTAGTGTCAGGAGATACAGGTTTGACTTAAGGCTTCACAGCTTTGAATAAGTTGCTTAGATGTGACCACTCTGTGTTTCAGTTCCCTGGTTGTAAGCATGGGGTGCAACTTCACACTCTGACATGCTGCAGAGCTCTCAGTAGTTCCTAATCCACAAAAATTACTGCTCCAGTTCTCACCTATAATGCATTCCTTGGCTCTGACATCCTCTTTGTGATCTTGACACGTGTAATGTTATCATTTCTTCTTATTCCCACTTTTCTGTCAATCAGAATCGTGGTCTGACAAGGTACAAATTCTGCTGAGCTGTGCACTACACAAATACATCAGCACAATGGTCTCCAAGAACTTCACAGTCCAACATCTACAGCACTTCATCTAGAGACCCATTTTCAGTCTGTCCTCCCACCACTTTGTGATACCTCATGGTTTGAAGAAGGGAAAAATATCCTCACTGATCTCTTTCATACTCTTTTGCCCCAGAGTACCTATTCTAACACAGAACTGGCACCTTTTCTGCAGATCTTGAGTACCCTGTGGCCTCTTTTTGATGACTTTCATCTTCTGCAGCCCTGGTAATACTGTGTAGTGAGCAGCTGGGCTAACTTAAACACCACAGCTTGTGCTGGAGCAGTAATGATTTCCAAAAAGATCTGAAGACTGGAGAATTAAAAGCGGTGACGTTAATAATGACAGGGGTTCACTTTCTGGATTAAAAAAAAAAAGAATTAATAATCCACAGGGTCCTGTAATGCCATGAGAATGGCTGAAGATTATCTGTTATGTAATATAATGTGTTGCTGAATGTGAACAAATAAGATTGGCAAGCTTGTGGTGTTTACGTGGTAGAGGCAAGCTCAGAAAACAGATATACAACAGTTTGTCCCATGCAATGAGATCTGTGGAAGGAATTCATGTCTGGTGCATGGGAGCACAACAGCTCAGAAACTGAGGTGTGATTAAACAGAACTTTTTACCAGTTCTCCTAGAGGAATAAAGATCGAGGGAAGAGGTAATTTTATTTTTTACATTGTTCTTTAAAGTTAATCAGGTTTTTTTTAAGTGCTTTGAGTCATACAGCATTTAAAATGGAGATGCTTTGGAGCTGTGCCTTTTCTGTCAGGGTATGTACATCAGATTACTGTAAGCTGCTCTTCAGTGGACTTTGAATCCTTTGTGCTACTGGACTTGAATGCAGGAAGTCTCATAACACTTTTCTCAGACAAATGTTTCTCAGTGCAAACAGAATTAATCTAAGGACTAAAGATGAAAAAGTGGAACAATTTAGCTTGGGCCCCCATTTTGCTGAGTATCTTTTCTGACTGCTACACCTAAGAACTGTGTAGTTTCATTAGTGTAATGAGGGTTTTTTTCCTCTTTAAGTTGGACATGCTTAAACAAAACAACCTGAAAAATGAAGAGGAACTTAATAAATCAAAAGAGCTTCTAACTCTGGAGAACAAGAAAGTGGAAGAACTTAGAAAAGAATTGTAAGTATTTCAATGTTAAATCTGTTAAAATATGCCTTTGGAGTTACATTTACCTTTTTTTTTAAATTATTTTTCAGTACCTCTTTGTTTTCCTCACTTATAAAGCAGATAACAGGTCAAAATTAAATATTGGTTTGACATGTATAGAACTTGAAACTGGAATGTTACTTGTGAATTGCTGAAGGGTATTGAAGCAAATCCTTCACTCCAAGCATTGTTTGAAATAGTTTGTTGGAGGAAGTATAGAGTTCTGCCACCTGAGGGCACTAGATTATTTTAAAATCTTTATTATAAAGAATTTCTGTTTGGATTTAACTGCAGTTACACTTGGAGGGATAAGTAGTTTTAAGTGGCTTGTTTATAGAAAACCTAGTTCTGCTTTTATTTTCCATTGTTGGCTTTATCCAGCTTATTCCCATTGCCCCACTATGCACTTATTTTCTAACTGGTGCAATACAAATGTGTTACAAATTTATGTATACAGTATGTAAAGCTAGAGTTAACTGCTTATCATTTCAGATGCTTCATTTGACAAAATACCTCTTAGGTATGACAAAATAATGAATTGTGTGACATTGCACACAAAAAAGCAACTGCAAAGCATCTGCTAGAAAGTAATTTCTCCTGTGAAATGTCATTATATCAAAGCTTTTGGTGTGCCACTGTGAATAAAAATCGTGGTCATTGCTACCCTGCAGTAGTCACACATCCCCCAGCTGTCAGAGCCATAATGCATTTAATCACAAATCTCTGTTCCCATCTGCACTCTGAGAAAAATTTCTTGACTCATGGAGCAAGAGCTGGAATCTGGATTGAGAGCTAAAAGCAGCTTTGACTAATTAATATTATTATTATTATTATTGTTAGTCCCATCATCCATTTTGTGACAGTTCTTAACCACTGCTCTGAGGTGAAGACAGGGCACAAAGGAAATCAGCAGACAGAATTAATTCTAAGATCCTGTATGACTGACAGGTTTTGCTGCTTGCTTTTATAAACCTACATGCTTGTGTAGACAGCAGCCTCCTTTGAAAAAGGCAGGATTTCATTGCCTGAGCAATTCCTACCTGCCTCAGTGCTCGTGGGGGAATGCCAAAGCAAAATAATTATTTCTGGACCAGTTGCTCTGGTGGTAGAACAGCAAGGGGCTAGCAGGCTGTGCTGTTGTGGAAAGACAAAATATATTAGCCTGTCATTTGTCAAGCAGAAGTTATTTATAGAAGCTACTTCTTTGAGAACCTTCTGCACTGAAAGGTGGTTGCTGACCCTGATCCCTTTGTGGGGTTTTAAAATGATTTTTAATTTCTTTTATTCTTAAGATTATTCTTAGAGTATTGCTGAATGTGGTCTCTAATCATCAGTCAGGGGCATTGTGGATGAGTGGGAGGTTGCTTTTTAATTGTTCTTTGTTGTCAGAATGATTTTGCATGTTGCCTTGGTTTAATTAGAGTAAGGAATTAGCTTGATAACAGGCATTTGTTGAGGAGCAGTTCTGTGAGTGGAGACCCCTTTGAGAGGTGCCCTGGCCTTTGGGAAGGAGAGCAGAGGGGACACGTTGCCCATGTGGGGGGACGTGCTGCTGCCTCCAGAGCAGCCAGGGCCTTTTGGAGGTGGGAGGTGTTACAGTGACATTGGTGTCCTTCCTGAAAGAGCCTCCCTGTAAAACTAGGGTGAAGAAAAGCCAAATCATCTCTAGATGCTGTGCATTTATTTGGTACTGTCAAGTGCACTTGCAGCTCTCAGTTTAACCCTCCTTGGCACTAAAGACAGGGGAGCATCTTGCACAAGCTGACCCAAATATTTTATGTGCTTTTTTTACCATGTCCCAAATCTACACTTTAATGCTGAGAGCAAAAAGAGGAGAGCTGGTTAGTACTGCAGTCAGCAAACAACCCTGGTTAAAAATAGGGGTAGCAAGTAGCTACATATCAAAATAATTTGAATTGATGTTGAGTGATGAGAGCTACCTGTTAGTCCAGCCTAGGTGGATCAGATTGGAAATAAGTCAAGGTGAGACCAAGAAGAAGAAATGGTTGGAAAATCTTAGTTCTATTATGTGCTGAATTTGAAAAGTGAACCACTTTTCCTTTTGTTTAAATGTGCCCAATAATAGACCATAGAGTCCTTGTGTTTTGAAGTGCTTGAGTAAGTTTCTGACTTATGGGTTCTTCTACCTCCCACAGTCATAAACTATTTTTAATATTCCAGTCAGGGTTTAACTCTGTGTAATCCTGGCACATAGGAATGCTGAGACTCCTTTTTATGAAAACAAAACACAGTCATAAAAATCACTTTTTAGTGAAATGAAACCTATCTTTTTTATTTTTGAAAGATACTGCCAAATCTTATAAAAACTTGTGTTAGTCACTTGTGTTATAAGCAGTATTTTTTCAAAAATTTGTTGAAAATAAACTTACTTGCAAGGAGATCACACATTGGCATCAACATAAGCTAATGAAACCTGCAAATCCATTTTATTTTAATTCAGCTTTTGTTTTGTCTCGTTTTCTGTTTGTGTCTGTTAAAATAATGGAATAGATTAGATAAGCTCCTCTTCTGCCTGCTGTGATCTTGCACATCCTCCTATGTTTGGGTGTCAGATCTTGTAGGGAGTATTTAAATAGTGGAACTGTAAACTTGGTGTTTTTTTCCCCTTTTTGTTTTTCTCTTTTTTCATTTTTTTTCCCCCTCTTTTAAACAATTGTCCCTTTTTGTTTTTCTCTTTTTTCATTTTTTTTTTCCCCCCTCTTTTAAACAATTGTCATGTATTACCACTAGCTACAAAGTTCACTTCTGAGAAGGTCTAGGCTATAAACCTTGCCAACACTCTTGTCAAACCCTACCCTCTATTTCTAAACCCAAGCATTTCCTAACCATCAGAAGCACCCAGAATTCACAATCTTGCACTTACCTCCCATTTCACTGAGTACCTGATGCGTTTAAAGGAAAAAGGAGCTTTGAGCTGCTGTGGTTTTTCAGGATTAAACCTACCCCTCTGCATCTGAGGTATAGATTGTCACCTTTATTACAGATCCCATTAGACACGTGACCTAGATGTATTTTTCCAAGCTGTGAAGCTGAATCTCTCCCACAGTTTTCTCTTGCCTCTCTCGTTCCTATGGTAACGATGCACTCTCTGTCCTCCCAGCGAAGAGCTGAAGCTGGCAGCAGCTCAGAAGTCCCAGCAGCTTGCAGCTTTGCAAGAGGAGAACGTGAAACTTGCCGAGGAGCTGGGCAGGAGCAGGGAGGAAGTCACAAGTCAGCAGAAGGTAGAGTGGCCGGGGTGTTCCTGACCCGTGGTGGGAGTGCTGTGCCTGCGCCGTGCTGCCCGCCCGCCGTTGCGCTGCATGGCTCTGCTTGAAAGAGGACTTGCTCTGAGAAGGCTTTCAAATCAATTTGGAAGCCACCTGCACGGGGAGGTTAGAACTGCAAGCTGAGAGAGGGTTACATAACTCGTGAAGGATATTAGAAGGCTTGGGAATAAGCATAAATTAAGTATGCTTTAGCCTAATGTATTAACGGACACTTGCTGTTTCTGTTGGGAGTAATTTTTGTTATACAGCTGTGGGAATCTCCACTTACCCAGATTTACTAAGGAAATCTAGCTGTTTTTTCCTGCTGTCCCTTCCCACTAAAAAAATAGAGGATTTAGGATGTACTTCAGGATACTATTTAAAACGACTTGGTTGGACTCTGTCTCTAAACCACTCTATGCACGTGTATGCTTGCTTGAACTTCATACTGTGGGTGTAGATCAACAGTGCTGCAGGCAGTGGGGACTGGAGGACTGGAATTGGTGTAAGATGTTTTTCTGGTGGCAGTATATCGGGGAGAAAAAGACTCAAATTTTATTTTTTTAAGTTTTTACTATTACATTTGAACGTGCTGTCGGAATCTCAAAGTATGGGCTTAGTTACACAGCTTCTAATGCTGGTACTTGCCAAAAGATAAACTAGATTTACAGCCATTAAATGTGGTGGGTTTAGTTCTTGTGCAGCAGTTTTTGTGACAGCCACACAGTTTTTGTGGTGCTGTGAAGGCATCTTTGGAAGATCTTGTCCAAAAGCAAGGATGTAGAAGACATGGGTTTATTTATTGCCTTTTGTGTGCCTGTTCCCAGTGGCAGTGGAGCAGAGCTCTGCCATCCTGCAACAAAGCCTAGTGTTTTTAAAGCCAAGAGGATGACTTTTCCCCAGGGTTCTGAGGGTGGGTGACTACAGATCTGGCCAGTTCATAAACCCTTCTGGCTGCTGACAGGAGTAATGCATGAGCTGCTTCATCCTAAAGAACCTTTTTGGAGATGATTAACAAAAGTCCCAGACGTGTGGGCTCAACCACTGACTCATGCAGCATCTGAGTAGTGGTGTGGTAAGAGAACGTTGTCATCCTCAACAGCCAGCAGGAGCTCTGCTCCCCACTCCCACATGTTTTCTTAAATTATTTCAGAATCTTTGAGGCAACCTGTTATTTTCAGAAAGAGTTGTAACTTGAAAGGGATTTGGCAACACCGGTCAAATCTTTCTGCCTGTTGTATGTAGCCAGGGCTGATATAATGAAAGCCCACAAGGGAGGGGACCCTTCAGCCCCAAGGTGTAAGCTGGCAGTGGTCACCAGTGGTCAAAGTGGCAGGGTGCTCAGTGTTCCAGGGAGCTCTGCTGTGGCAAAAGGAGCAAAGGCAAAATGGTGTGATTTAAAATGCAGGTTTCCTGCTGAGTGTCACTTAACTGACGTGTGCAGCTCCTCTCTGTTCAGTCTTGTTCAGCTCTCCTTGGTGAAACCTGTGGTCCACCTGCCCAGAACTGTGCCATTGCTGGCTTGCTCCTAAAAAACATTCCCTGTCTCTTCTGGAGGCTGTGAAGTACTGACCCTCCTTTTCAGTCTGATAGAAGCCTGCTCTTGCCCTGAGGAGTACAACTTTTTCCATGTTCCCTTTAGGTCTTAGCCCACACTAACTTACAGTCCCCTTGTTCTACCCTGAACTCTGCTGAGTTCTCTTAATGAGAGGAAGCCAGGCAGGATTCTGGCTCAGACAGCCCTGTTCTGGGCTAGCACAGCCCTGGGGCTCCCCACCACCACCTCTGCTCTGCTGTCCCTCAGGTGAACATACCCTGTGGTTAGGCACTGAGTTGCAGCATCCTTTGGGCTTCCTCAGGTCAGGCTGCCTGTGGGGAGTGGGACAATGTTACTGGGAAGAACTGCTTGATTAGATTTGAGAGAATTGTCTGTGGTGGCACTGAAGAGATTTAACCCAGAGCAGGGTTGCTCCTGGAGCTGCATTTAATGCAGTGGGTGCTGAAAAATTGGAGAGGAGGGAGGAAAGCACAGAATGTAGCAGTGCTTCAGTCTGGGTGAGTTTCTGGGCATGTGCCTGTTAAAATGCAGGAAGAAAGGTAGCAGGCATATGTTTTAAGTATTTTGAGCAGTTGCTATGGTAACTATAAATTCTAGCAAGTGTGTTAGTCAATTGGGTTAGTGAATCTGTGGCTGCATGTGACACACTTTGAAAAATTAATGAATACTCTTTCATGAATGATTTATTCTGACATCTAAAGGTTAAAGTGTCTTGTTTTAAAGATGCTGAGGGGTGCTTTTCTATATTGATCCATAAATAATTAGCTGTTTGTAATTAGTTAAAGATTCCCAGTCAGATACTGGGCTCTGGGAACTTTTCTGGTTTCAAATTATTTGTTGTGGTACTTTGGGAGCCTCAGACCTACCAAGGCATTTTACCTTCATTGTGAAAAGTATGGAAACCTCTGCTTGCTCAGCTGGTCCATCTTTTATTAAAGGTATGTGAGAAGTCTGCCCTGAAGCTAATGAGAGAGTGAGTGAGAGGATTGCTGGAGAAATGCTGATGAGAGAAGGGGTGTCCTTTCTCCCCTTCTACCATGAAGCTGCTCAAGACTTAATCCATGGCTTGTGCAAGCTGCACCAGGGGCTTAAAAGCTTCACAACTCCTCTAACATCTTGTTCTCCTTTTACTTTTCTCTCTTTTAAATCCACTTCTATCTTAGTCCATACAAAAATAACTCCTCTCTCCCCAGCCAACCAGAGGAAACTAAAAGGGAGGAGAGATGCAGGGTTTATGCTCAGGATCTTGGAGCATTCCACAAATGCTGAGGGATTTTCCGAGTTAAAACAGGCACCACAACCTGTTCTTAAAAGAAACTAATAAAAATGTGGGATGTGTTTGGGGTGGGGAGCATCATGGAACTCTGTGGACATGGCCTGTGGGGAGCAAGGGGTGACTAACATCAGTTTGAGGCTTTTGCAGTTCCAAGTGGCAGTCAGGAGCATAAGCCTCAGGCAGTGAAGCTACCTCAGGGTGAAAGGAAGTGATTTGATTGTGGAGCAGGGCCAGGCTCATGCTGCACAGTGCAGCTGTAGAGAAATGCTAGTGCTGGTGGAGGAAAAGCTGTCCAAAAAAACCAGCTGGAAAAGTGTGGTGCAGAGGAGATTGCAATGGGAGTCTGGGGGAGGAGAGGGGTCGTGTAACATGGGGGCCAGAGGGTGCCCTGGAGAGGCAGCTGAACAGTGTGCAGCTCATTGGCATTTACAAGTGAAACATTTCTCAGAATTTTTATGTTCTTTTTCTCCTTTTTCTGCCAGCAGGCTGTGCAGATGTAAGGAGTTCATACAGGCTGCTTCTGTGTAGGAAGCAGACACACATTCTCAGAAACAGGGGTATGCTTCGTGCTGCTGGTGAAATTGCTGAGTCTGACTTGCCTGCAGAAGAATTTGGCCATACCCCCCCTAGTACTGTGGTGCTCAGCAGTCTTACCAGTGGTCACTTCCCTTGAGAGAGACATTTTGTTTTGCTGTAAGATTTCTTAATATAAGTCTCTCTACACCCTTCTAGTAGCTATTTTTCATATTGATAAAGTTGTCCAATTAAGCCCCAGCAAAATGATACTAATTATCTTAAGCCTGGTGATCTTAACAGCACTGTAGTATGTGAAAGGAGGAGCTAAGTTGTCAGAAGATGTGGAGGAGACAATTTATCTGGGTGAGGTACTTTTAACCTAGTCTTGGAAACTGGCAGACAAGCTCCCTTCTCATTGCAACTTTCTTAATGCTTTCTATGCCTCTCTGGGCCAGACTTGGGCTCTCAGGGTTCTGTTACTGATGGATGTGCTGCTAACCTTGGGGATGCACTCTGAAAGCTTGTGAAATCTAGACAGAGATTTCAGTCAAGTCAAGAAATGGGTAGTTCCCTAAACTATGTGTGCCTGTCAGTTTGGACCCCAAGAACCTGCAGCAGCAATATTGTCAGTTGAAGGCTTTAGCAGCTGCAAGAGCTTAAGGTGGCCCTGCTGAGTTGCAGGTTCAGGATATAGTAACAGCCACCAGAACAACAGCTTTAGGGATCAATAATTTAAATGATGGTATAGTAACACAATCAGTAATACAATTATCCAGGTCAGAACAACAGCAAGTCCAATAACTCACCAATACTGGGCTGAAGTTAATAGCCAGGCACACAAAGGCTTACTCTGTTCTCTCTGGTGTGCTGGGGGCCAAGAGGTACATATAAAGCAATACAAGCATCACATCTCTTGGATGTGCACAGGAAAACACTATTTAAAGCAGAAACAGCTCCTCACTAGCTAATAGTCTTGGTCACTGTTCTTGTGTGTGTGCGTTGTCCTAGTAGAAAATGGATAACTTTGAGGGTTTTAGGCTCTGTAGCCTCTCCTGTGCTTGTTTTATGATGATAATGATGCTCTGATACATTATACTAAGGAAACAATCCTTAGTGTATTAACTGTAGTCTTTTTGTTGTTGTGTTTTAGCTGGAAGAGGAGAGATCAGTGCTCAATAACCAGTTATTAGAGATGAAAAAGAGGTAAGATTTTTTTCTGATGTGTTTAACTATACAGCCCTACAGAAAACTTCAGAAAACAACACAAAAACACCACTAAAAAAAAATATTTATTTTGTATTGTATCATAGTCAAAAGTGCTGATGTTGATACACACATTGGCTTACAGATTTCTCTCACTTTGTCTTCAGTAAAAGTGAGAAGTGTAAACTGTGGTGTTAACCATTTCCTCTTTAGTTTGTGCACCCCTTGCATTGTAGTAGTTCTCTTCAGTAACCAATTTAGTGTCTGGGTTTAGTCTGCTCTGCAATGTTGGATTGTCTCAGTGTGATAAAAATGTAGGTGTACAGATCTGGCCTGTCAAAGTCTTAAGGAATAACAAATTAAAATAGTGATGCTAAGGATTTAAAAAAAATAAGAAGAAGAAAGAAAGAAAACCATCAGTTATTCAGCATTGAATGGATTGTTCTCAGAATATTGGGATCTTGAGTTCAGTGTGGCAGTAGTTATTGCAGTTCATTCAGCACTGTTTTTAAATACCAGGAGATTTGTCCTGAGGGACTGGGGCATCCTTTTGTAAACTGTGCTGCTCAATAAACAGTCCCAAGTTACAACATTGACTCTGGTTCTGCAATGTGTGTGTGAGAAGCTAATTGGTGAGGTGCCACAATGTCTTCAGGAAAATGGGGGCTTTTCAAAAGTAGTTACATAAGCCCTTAGAAAAAGACACAGCTCTCCATGACACCAAGCATGTTCCAGGAGAAACAAACCAGTCCCTGTTAAATTTCCTGAATTTATAATGGTCCCAACAAAGGCCAGTGAGTGGCACTTGGGTATTTAAGCACATCCTTAGCTACTCACTGTTAGACACTGATCCTGTTTCTATTCCCCAGTAATTGGTTACTGGGGAGGTGTGGGTCACACTCTGTTGTATCTCACACTCTCCAAAGGGCAGCAGGCACAGGGGGGGCTCTACAAGTTCAAGCTTCCTCAGAGATTTGAGAGTTGGATCAGTTGTACAGAGAGGCCAGTGAACAGCTGAACCTCCAGCTTTAACCCACCTCACAAACTGCATCACTCAGCCTTTTGCTGCACAGAATGCCAAAAGTGTAACTTCTTTTTTACAAGGTGAAGTGAAGGAGAAGATACAGAGAGAAATCTTTAGCTGGTGTAAAAAACATTGAATATCCACAATAATTAATGTTTACATCAACTAAGGATCATCTGCAGCATATTTGCTGTGGAGGAAGGGAGGGAAAAGGAAGATATTAGTGCTGCTGACAGTTTAGAGTGCAGTTTATAGCCTGTTATTTCACATCTTTTAACACATGGATTTTAAATAGCATAACTCCTGGAAGTTACTTGAGGAATGGAAAGAGGGAGCAGGGACTCAAGATTCATTCAGTACTTTCCAGCAGTTCTGTTTCATAGCATACATTTTAAAAGACAAATTCTTTAGTAAGTTATAAAAAGTGTGGTTCTGATTTTCCCTCTGTTTTTACTCTGTGTGAGCAGCCTGAAATAATCTAGATAATTATAAATCATTAAAGTAAATTTTAACATTACCTTCAGTTGGTTACACTGAGATGCCCAAGTTTGTGACTGGCTTAAAGATGTTCCTCAACAGTGTTGAATAAACTCCAATAGAAGAGACAAAACAAGTGATAGAAACAGTCAGCCTCCCTGAAGCAGATTCTATAGGCTGCCAGGGGTCAAAATACACCAGCATTATTTGCTGACCAAAAAAGATTAAGCTGAATGAAGAGCTAATTAAATAAAAAAAGTCTCTCTGAAATCCCAAATTCCACTGAAGCTGGTGATGAGACGAGTGATGATTTCTTCCTTTTGCCTTAAGAATCTGAGATGCTGAAGAAGAGACATCTTTTGGTTTCAGTTAGGTCAAACCCCTAGCAGTAGTTTCCTCACCTTCCTTCCACCCACAGGAATTCTCTTCCTCTGTTTTAACAGCTCCCTCTGTGAAATGGCCTGACTAGGAGTGACAGGGGTTTGATATTAGGGCTCTGAGGGGGTTCTCTGTCACCTCAGCCCTTCAGGCTCCTTGTGGGTTGCTAACTGTCTTACTGTCTTTGAGCGTGTGCTACTTATCGAGACTCATCTCATTCCTCTCTCTTCCCTTTCCTGCCCTTGCTTCCTTTGCTATATCTGTGTGTCTTTAATGGTAAGACTCAAGAAAGTCTATCCACGTTACAATAAATAATTTTTTTTTTTTTTTTAAGTAAAGTTGTTGTACATATTTTGGCTGCCTTTGTCCCTTGGTGTCTTGCTTTTGTTTTGTAAAATACTCAGCTGTATATATATAGATAGATAGATGAAAAGAAATCTATATTTTTTACCAAGACAAAAAAAAAAAATTAAAAGCCCCTTAGTGCAAATTTAGTTCAAATTTAGTTCTTCCTTAAAGTATTTTGCATTTCTACTCCATGTTTCTAACATGTGGTTCTTGTTATCTTACATTTTTAAAGCTTGCCCAGTAACACTTTAAGGTATTTGCTTCATTCTTAGAATTTCTTATTTTTTGTAGTAAGGGAAGAATCTGGGTGATTTTTTTTTTTTTAACTGTTAAACCAAAAACCTTTATCTCCCATGGCTTCCACATGCTGCTCCAAACATGGTTTATCCTCCTCAAGAAAGTGAAACATTAAAATGATGTATGAAATGACAAAATAACTTTTGCTGTTGTTTTTCTTTAGTCCCTGCTGGCAAGCAGAGGTTTCAGACTTGAATTGGCAAGGAAAAGGTTTAAGTTCACCAAATCAGTTTCCCTTGTTTTTTTTGATAAAATAAATAGTTTCCACAAGATTTTTCTTGCAAGTTATCACTACATGTAGTTATTTCACATTCAACATATGCTGCTTACGTTTACTGTCTCTGCTATGAATCACTACAAATGCTGCTGGAGCTGAGAGCAGCAGTGGGGCAGGCTCTCTGCTGCTGGAAGTCAACTGTCACCCACACTTATGTGTAAGTAAGTAGTGACATGCACCTACTACACTTGTAGGCTTTCCAGTTTCAACATTTTAGGGGGCCTCCAGCTGGAGCTGTAAAGCATCATTCCTGCAGAGCCTGCCCTGCAAAAGAAAACCCAACACTACAGTACAGGGACCTTTATCCCCTTCTTGTTGTGTATTCTTCTTTCTTCTCTTGTTTCTCTCCCTTTGTGTTACAGAATTCTAGACTCCCATATTGAATTTGCAAATATATATTTATATGCTCACAATCTATTTGCCTTTTTCAACCACCTGAGTGCTTGTGGTGGTTGAAACCAAGCCCAGCAAAGGGCAAGTTAACCATATTTGTACAAAAAGCCTGTTCAGTCTTGATCTCTCAGATGAAGATCTGACCAGACAGTGGAAACACTGGCTAAACAACAAGCTCCTGAGCATGAGATGAGTCACTGGGGTTTCCTTCCTCTCCCCTACAGCTGCACAGACAGCAAAGGGAAGCCCCGGTGAAGTCTCAGGTGCAGTTTCCAGATGTACTTCCCAATTCCCAGCCTTAAGTAAACGCTGTGTTTGCAGCTCAGCGGCTTGGAGAGGGCAGCTCTGCTCTGTCAGCAGCCCCCTGTGCAGTGGTGGCACATTTCTTTCCCACCCTGCACTTTTGAGGCAGTTCAGCAAAGCATTTAAAGACATGGGTTAGGCTGGAGTGTGTGTGTGTGCTGCTGAGGAGCACAGAGATCAGTGTCATGCTTTTAGTGCTCTGCTGAATCGGGGTTGGTGAGGAGAGCTGTTAAATGTCATTGCCCTTATTATTACCAGGAGTATGACTTGTATTTGAAGGCAAGTTTGTGCAGTCTGCAATCGTTGTGTTTCTGCTTATATTAATTCTCTCATTGTAAAAATATACCAAACCCAAAATCACCCTTTTGGTTCTTGTTTGGTAGCTACATCAGCTTTTCTAAACCCCAGATTCTCCACTTGCTGTTTCCATTCCTGAGTATACTCTTAACAATGAAAGAATTGCATTAATTGTGCTCTCATTCTTGAGTTTCCTATTTACCTTTGGTCAGTGAGGTTTATTGTGTTTCATGGTCTGGGTATCGTGGCTCTCACTAACTGTAGATACTGTGGAGATGAAAACTTCTTCCATTTGAACTTCACAGCTGTCCCCTACCTACTGAGCACCGTCACACGAGGATGAGTGCTGCTCCTGATCCCTCAGTCCTAACAGTTCCCTCAGTCCTAACAGCATGTAGTGTAGTTTAATTACTTAAATTAAGTCATTACATCACTTGGTATCTTTGAAGCACTGGCTAGTCTGTGTTTTTTTGTGTAGTGGGCTCACAGTCAGGTAGCCTAGCCTGTCTCCAGCACCCTCAGCAGGGAAGAAGAGGAGCAGCTCACTGCTGTGGCAGGGAGACCATGCTCCTCTAAACCCAGCTGTAGGAACTGCACAGGAAACCCTCTATGAGAGTTGGCATCTGGCTGCTGGGCACTGCTGGAGCTCTGAGAGCCAAGGTTCTCTTCTAATAAGGAAACATAGATTTTGGAGTAACAATAATTGTTATTTTACTTAACCAAACAGAACCCTTTCCACTTATAAGGAACTTCTGTAGCAATAATCCTCACATCAGAGAACAGTTACTCCTCTGTGTACTGTGAGAGCTGTCAGGAAGACTCCTTAGCATGTGTGAGGCTGTCACAGTGATGGTGCCTTCAGGTGGCTGTCAGGAGAGGAGGTGTAGGCATGAGTTATGTTCCTCCTTAGATCAGCTGAAAGGCTTGGGAGGAATGGATATAGGTGCACAGAAGGGGGCTCGCCTGCTCTGGGGGATTTCTTTTTAACCCTTCTCCCATGAAGTAACACAAATCCCACGTGGTTTTGTGCTGAAAGGCCCAGGAACTCCCAAAGCACATGTTTCAGGAGATACTGATGTCACTGAAATTAGTGAGGACCAGCTGATATTTCCAGCATCATCAATGCTTTGCATGACAACTTGTACAATGAGCTTTGCATGTGTGTTTTGTTGCTTGGCAGTAATTTTCAAGAAGTAACAAAACTCTGGAGTCAGGTTTTGTGGAACATTGTGCAACATGTTTGTTTATCCTGTATCTCCCCAGTCTGTTAACTTGCTTCTTTAAATTCAAATGGATACAGTGATATGCAGATTCTGGCATGTACTCCCTAGGTAAAGTTTTTGCTTTGTTTCCACAGTTGTCACATCTGAAACATTTCTACACATATAAAACCTTAGCCAAGTGCAGAGTTGATATTTGCTTTTTAAGAACCACTTCTTCCAGTAGTCTAGTACTGGAAATTAAATTAAACTTCTTCAGAAAACTACAATAGTCCATTCCTGAGGTGATTTCTGGTTGTATTTGGTTTTCTTTTAGAGAATCAACGTTAAAAAAAGAAATAGATGACGAGAGAGCATCTTTACAAAAATCCATCAATGTAACTAGTGCCTTGATCACACAAAAAGATGAGGAACTGGAAAAACTCAGAAATGAGGTAAATGCTGAACAGTGGGATGCTTCTTCATTTCAGATGAAGTTACAGCTAGAAGCATGTGGCTTTGTCTGCTTGTACTGAAGAGTTGGCTAATTCTTTTTCTTTATTAATTTAGGGTAGTTAAGCCTTAGAATCAAACCTTTAGGTATCTGTGCCCACTTGGGTGACTTCTAGCTTATATTTTTGTTGGCTGTTTAGCCCTTTTTACTAGGGATGTTGCTTTGGTGCTCTGACTTCCTTCTGGAAGGCCTCAGCTTTCTCAAATAACTCTTACAGATCACGGTGCTCCGTGGAGAAAACGCTTCTGCCAAAACCTTGCAGTCAGTGGTTAAGTCACTGGAGTCTGATAAATTGAAACTTGAGGAAAAGGTGAAGAACTTGGAGCAAAAACTCAAGGAGAACAACGAACAGCCTTTAACTGTAATTAGCTCCTCAGGTAAAAGAGACAGTGAGCCTCTCTACTCCGGGCCTTCAGCTTTAATCTTGTAGGTTTAAGGAGGTTTAACTATTTGAACTTCCTGAGAAATGTGAATTTCCTGTTGTAGGACACACATACAACTTGAATGAAGGAAACAAATTTGACCAGCTGCAAAATGTTTCACTGCCAGGGAACCCCATTTACAGCGGGGTGGGGGCAATTGCACTTGAAACATGTGCATGAACCAGAAAACTTCACCCTCTCCGTGGGGTGGCTTCCGTGCCAGAGCCTCCCTCAGGCTGAGGTGGGTTTTCCTTGGGGTAGCTGTGAAGTTAACGTGTAGGCACCAAAACAAAACCACCCACCTGAGGAAGCCCAGGGTTCAGACCCTCCTGCTTCCCTTGCACTGAGCGTCAGCTCCACAGGCTGCAGCCCCATCCCTGGAGAGAGCAGTGCTCCCCTCCAGAGCTCTGCAGGCAGCTGCCACCTCTGCAGGCACTGATTGTACTTTGATATGTGACGTGCAGTCCTGACTGTGCTTCTGTAATGCAGCAGTCAAAACAGGTGCCCTGGAGTGCCCTCGCTGAAGCTTACACTGAGTGGTTAGGAGGCAGGGAGAATAAGATGTTCTGGAGACTAGAGACTCTGTTATGTTATTTCTCTCTGACTGAGCCATTGTGTGTTTCATAATTTAGATTACTGGATACTTACACCTTGTTTGGTTTTGTTTTTTCCTTTAAAGGTGACATTGCTGCTAACCTACTTCAAGATGAAATTGCAAAAGAGAAGCAGGTATTTGATGTGAAACATCAGTGTGATAAATCAGCAGTGTGGCTACAGGGAGGGGGAAATATTCTAGAGACAATTCCTCATCAGATTTTGTACATCAGAACTACAATGGGCAGATTTATCTTGTACCCTTCTGCTTCTGAAGGGAAATATTAATGGCAGGAAATATCCAGGATCAAGTGATGAGCGATACTGGAGAAGTAGTTCAGGTTATTGGAGTGTGAGGAGGAGGCAAGCAGGAAAGAAAGGGGGGCAAGTGTGCAGCCTGTTGGGGAGGGACACCTGAATCTATGCCCAACTGAATCTGTGGTGCTTGGAGGAATGGGCTACCTCAGCTCCCAAGTTATTTCTGAGCTTCTGCAGTTGAAAGTGTTGCTCTTTGCTTCTTAACTGCAGAACTGTACTCAGTGAGGGCTGGCAGCAGTGGGGTGCAGAAGTCGCTCAGTTAGTGTGTGCTTGGGAACAGGAAAATGTGTGTCAGAGGGCAGGAGAATCCTGCTGGCCCCGTGCAGGCAGCTGTGTGACAGGCAGCCCGTGGCAGGAGCCTGGGAACCACCCTGGGAATGGAAGCACCTTCTGCTCCTTAAAGCCCCTGTTAGATCACTGATGTCAGTCACGTTGATTAAACAATGTCCTTCCCAGTCCCTACAGAGATCAGAAGTACTGTAATTAACACACACATGTCTTTTTCTGTTTTTCTGCCTCCTTGAACTCACCTGCTGATGACAACCCTTCCAAGCAGCACGAGGTTTGTTCCACTCCTTGGCTTCCTTTTATTTTATTTGCTATGTTAATTTGCCAAGCAGGACCTGATGATCTTCAGCCTGCTCATCTCTGTGGCTCTAGCCAGGGGAAATGCTGACAGGCACTGTCCCTCCAGGGTAGCTCTGAGAGTATCCACCAAGTTCAGAGGAACAGAGACGCTGTTCTGATCAAAATTACACCACAGGATTTACATTCAAAATGTAACATTAGAAAAAGAACTCAGTGGTGGGTTGAGACCCACCGATGTCCCAAACATGCTGGCTGGGCAGGATTACCAGCTGGCTGGCCAGAAATCACACCCAGGGTCTCCAAGGTCCTTTGGGCAGTTCCTGTCCCCGTTCTCAGTGTCCCTGGCTGCTCTCTGTAATGCAGTGATCCAGTGGTAAGGGCTCCTGCAGATCTGTGTGTGGCAGTTGGAGGGTTACTCCTTTGTCACTGGCTGTCTGTGGAGTGCACTCCTCACCCTGCTGACTGTCCTCCTGACCACTGCAGATTGACTTCCTGAATTCAGTGATAGTGGATCTGCAAAGGAGAAACGAAGAATTGAACTTGAAAATACAAAGAATGTGTGAAGCAGCCCTCAATGGCAACGAAGAGGAGATAAACAACTATGACAGGTATAAACCTCTACAGGGAACCTTGGCTTGTGCTTTGGGAACTGTTGGCAGCAGTCACTTACCAGCTGCACAAGGCACCGGCCGGAGCTGTGCTCTTGGGAGGGACAAACAGTTCTTCCCTTGAACTTAGGGGGATGGAGTCCAGCTGCCTTTTTAGGTCCTTTACTACAGTGTAACTCCTGGTGCAAAGAGATCCTCTGGTCACACGCTGGTGCATCATCCTGTATTTGTTGTCAGCCTTGGTTGAGTCTGGCCCTTTCCAAGAGAGGTGGGAGAGTCTTTGCTCTCAAGAAGCTGGTAGCTGTGTTGGGATGGGGAGGTCCAGTCCAGAGAAACAGAACTAAACCCTGGTTGCTCTGTTGTGACTTCAGATCTTTTCTGGCTGAAGGGAAAGCAGAAACTAGTTTACATCTGTTTATTTTTTAAATGGTGTCTGTATTTGTGTAAATATTTACACAAACGGAGCAGTTTGCTTAGTAAATACTATAGTGTAAGGGATTTTGGGGGTACTGCAGGGTAGTGAGGATGTCAGGAGATCATCAGAAGGGGGATTATTTGGGGGTTTTGTTGACCACTGTGGTGTTTCCCTCAGCCTCAATGATTAGGAGGCAGCTTCTCGGGCGGGGCGGGGCAGCGGGCCTGTCTCCCCTGTGGAGGAGAAGGTCCCTGCTCGACTCCCCCCGGTGCTGGTTTTGCAGCGAGGAGGAAAGCCTGTCCAAGAAGAAACCTCGTCTCTTCTGCGACATCTGCGGCTGCTTCGACCTGCACGACACGGAAGACTGTCCCACCCAGGCGCAGACGCCGGAGGAG